TTCCCCGTGGGCGTTAGCTCCATGCTCCACGAGGGGGATAGATAACTCCATCATGGAGCTCGGGGTGGTTATGGAGCCGGGTGTGGGAGGATTGCGGAGGTACCCAATCCCTTCCGTGGTGCCCCAGGGAGGAAGACGCGGAGGCGTGGGGCCAGGCCGACGGGGGATGGGATGGACCCAGATAGCCTGCCCGCCCTGGGGAGATCTTCCGACTCAACCGTTTCCCAAAGAAATTGCTGCCTCTCTCATACGATACCGACAGTCCTCCCCCGGAATTGACCTGCCGGATTCTTCTTAACTTCCCGTTTGCGAAATCTGGAGCAGAGCGGAACTGGTCCGGAGGTGATGCAGGGTCGCATAGATTAGCATGCAGACCAATCATCTCAACTCTGATTGGCGATGCTGGCTGAGAGCCGCGCTGCCAACTTGCCCCTCCGCCAAGGTGTGCCAATATCGAAGTGGTGAGATTACCCATATATGAATTATGTCCGGTGCCCATGACGAGCTTCCCACAGCTTGGCGAGCTGATGTTTACCAGGGCATCGACTGGCTTCACAGGCTCGGCCACGGAGTCTGAGTCGTATGCGATGAGAGTGACTAGGCATGGACCCAAGAAGCCCAGGACGCCACTAGCTTACCAAATACAACCATCGTTCGGCCGACCAAGCAGAGGTGTCTGCATCGGCATCGCGGCATCTTGAGGAGGGAATGTCCATCCTGTATGAGTATCCAGCAGCATCGGAACTTCGGGAGAGCAATGCACACGTCTTCATATATGAATCGTGACGCGCGACGACCGGACGCTGATCTTTGAGACCAATGTGAGAACCCGCAGTCGGGCTGCAGGAGACGTAGCCTCCCTGCTTACCCCCTCGAGAGTTCCGATCTGCTTGTTGTTGACGGACTCGCCACGGAGCATAGTTCTCGACCCATATCGGTGGAGAGGGCGCGGAAGCAAAAGCGCGAGTCGCTATTGTCCGCGGTGTTTTGCAAGCCCGCCGTTGTAAACGCTTGTCCGTGGTCTTTTGTAAGTCCGCTATTGGAATTACATCAAAACAATACGCTTCGACATTCACCTGGTTCGTGAAGCACGTTGGACGCTCCGACAACACTTCTGTCGTTGTTCTCGCAACATTGTGAGCCATCTGCAATTCGGAGCGGCAAGCGGCTTGGAAAGGCAAGTGCGGTTGGATTGCCAATGATCCAAGTGCTTGGCTGTCTGCCAAGAGTGCGGCAAGCTTTTTTGAGGCTCAGTCAAGCGCCCGGGCGCAGCAATGAACGGCCAATTCCCAGGTGACTGGGGGAGGAACTTTGTACTCCCGTGCCGTGCCAGAGAAAGTCCGGGGTTATGGGGTCTGCTAGGATGGCAAGGACGCTAACCTGGAATGAACATCTCGCTTGGCGGTCCGCCAAATTCGCCACAACCCACCCAGGGCCGTTCCAGACAAGGCGTCCATGATGGTGGTCGGGTGCCTGCCAGTGACGCAAATAGGTGCCCAGTTACCGTTACCTTATGCAGAGGGCGTGTTTGTGCTGCAGACCCTACATATGGGAAGGGGGAAAGGGATTGCTGTGAGTTGACGCCCTTCGAGCTGCATCGCCGTCCGGCTGCCGGGCCTCGACATCGCCGTCGGGGCGATGGTCAACCCCAGAATTGGGATGATGGTTGCACACCATCACCACCAGCCTCTGTCAGCTCGTTGCAAAACGCCAAGATTTTCTGTCGACGGCTGCGCACCTGTCGGCCTCGCTCTGGTGCTGATCACTCCATCTCATGTAGGTCTCGCCTTTTCACGCCCCTGCATCGTGTGAAGTCTAGGCTTCCACACCTTGACATGCGTGGAAAGGCTCTGTCTGGAATGACGGAACCCTACGGCCTCGGCTACTGCCAACGCTCATTATGGCTCATGACTCACACGACCACCTGCCATGAGAAATGAAACCAACATGGGTAGGCGTATGCAAGAGATATTCCGCCAACGTCGCGCGTTGGCACTGCTGCATCATGAATTATCTCCATGGTTTTCCTAACCTTGGTGGCGCTTCTCACCGCATGTGAGCGACTGTGGTCTCAAGGCGGGTTGAACACATACCTGCAGCCATGCAGGGCTGGTGGCTGGCATAATTGAGCATCGATTCTGCCTCGTTCCGTGGGAGTGGCGTCGCTAGAGTTTCCAGAGACGAGAGAAGTGGGAAGAAATGCACTTCACAATCCTACATATGTGCCAAGTTGAGGCACTGTGCTGCCAACAGGCGGATGGATATGTTACCTTACACCAGGTAACCTATTTACATAGGGCCTTGAATACTAAGACCTGAGGGTGCGGTGACAGCGCCACGCGATGGGTTTTGAGTCAACTTCCAACAGCCGATTGTCATTCCATAATCAAACCTGTGGCAAGAAGGATCACCGGCAGCAAGTTAACATACGCCGGTATTTGGCGTTTCCGCCAGCCCCCAAGTAGGGACGGTCCGCTGGAACGGCAGCCACCAGGGAGTGGAATCTTGAGTTGAATGGGCGGCCTTGCGAGTCTCCTTAGTCAAAGCTTAAAGAGATCGTCTTTTCGGGCTTTCCTATAGACTGGATGGGAGCCCTAGTGATGGCCGCTGTTGTTTTAAGCTTTTTGATCCCGAATACCTTAAAAGAAAATCTTCAATTGCATTTCAATCGTATAAAAGTTTCCGGTTGCCGCATGGTCGCTACAAGCAAGCGCGCAACAACCGTGTCAGTTCGTACACCTACAGGAATCACATCTCTTCGCGCTGGTTGCCCGTCTTTGGGTGCGATTTTTCTCGTCCCGCGCGAGAATGTTCACGCGGATATGCTTATCTGGTCCAGTCTGGGCTCTGTACAGTGAGCCTCCACTGCCAAGACTTAGGATGTAAGCAGCTTCAACATTCCCCCGACTTTCCTCACAACTCCACCAAACTACCTACCCGCCTTGCCTTACAGGCTGCGGCGGCATCCAAGGTTATGCCTAGATTCGTCCGCTTGGCCTTCTCGCTGATCTGCCGCTCGGTACACCCACCAGCCCAGCAATCTGGTCCAAAGTGCTGCTAGGGGTCTTCCCTTCCACTTTGCCTGTAAAATGACGGATGCCATGGATCGAACAGCTTCTTCAGCTCGGTAACTCCGCGACATCCTTTTTGGAGCTACAAATTTAGCTGGTTGTTGTACGAGATCCGTGATACCCTCCAGTCTATCGCGGTTACTCCCTTCGAGGGGTGTTGTGGTCGAAGATGTCCTCACTGTGCATCCTTCAGTCTGAACTCACGCCGATGGCGTTCTCTGCGCATTGTCGGGATCCTGTATCTGACAACAGTCGTTGATTTCATGTGCGGCTAAGGCCAGGTATGCCTCGTGTTATCTAACACCTGGACACACTGACGAATCAGATGGCAAGCCCCTCATCGTCAGTCCTTGGTGAAGCTGATGGGCGTCACGAGATACGTTGCGCTAATAATAGCAAAGCGGCCTCAGCAAGATATCGAGAAACTCAGCCGTGGCATGTCCAGTTCATTGATGATTGCCTTCCCATTTTTTTTGGACCTCGTATCGTACAAGATCTATGAATATAGTACAGTTGGTGGTGTCAAGCGGCAGGAGGCTGTAGAACGGGCGGCATGCTTAATCACTTCGAGGAGTTTATCGTAGACCAGCGGCAGCCTCCCTCTCTGCCTTACGCGCTGCGATGCGCTTCTTGAAGCGAACCTCACCCCTCCTGCGTTCACCACCATCAACCTTGTGACCCTGCTTGTGCTCCCACATACCCTCTGCGACAACCACACGAGCTCCCTCGCCGCCCGGTAGAGGCAGGGCATGAGGACCAGAAATCGTGTTTGCGCCGCGCACTGTGTAGCCCGTAGGCTTTGTAAGCTGAGCGATATGCAGGCTGCTCACGTCGGCGTCCGCCGGTACGTTGACGACAATCTTCTTGTCTGTCGCGGGGTCTCGGACGACCTTCAAGATGGCCTCCCCACTCTCGACATACTTGAAATCGCCGCCGGGGCCAAATGCGCCCTTCCTGTATCTGTCCAGCCATGAGAGGAGGTATCGTCGTTCCCTTGGTGGCTCGAGGCCAAGCTCTCGGAGCTGTAGCGATGTGAGGGAGAACAGAGCATCCCATGTGGGGAACTTGTCGAGGTGCTGGTTGAGGCCGCGGCCAACGACCTTCAACAAGGTCTCGACATCGGGAATGAGAGGTATCGGCGACGGAATGGGCGGGGCTTCTCTGGTTTTATGAAGCCATCTCGTCTGGCATGTCGGGGCGACCGGGGCCTTGCGGAGGAAAGGACTCAGGAATTGCTGGAACCGAGATGCCCTCATGTTGACCTAGGGCACATGTCAGTACCAATGGCAGTTTTCGGAGCATTTTGAAAGGGTTTCAGGCATACTGTGTGGGCTTATGAGCTTCTCTAGCCAGGCAATTGGCCGATTTCAAGCTTGCGCGTGGCTGTCGTCTAGGTCTTGAAGTCTCGCGATGTTGCTTAACTTGCCTCCAATTTTTGCTCTGCCAGGCGCTAACGCTTGATAATTTTGACTTACATAATCGTCTCATTGAGAGAGACTTGAGTGGTCTGAGTTCCTCTCTCTGTGATTTTTGACCGCCTTCTTTTTATGGTCTAGCGCAACGCCCACGCTTTTGTGGTTCGCCAGCCAGGGGGGCCTCCGCTAAATTGGCAGTGCCCCGCGATCCGTCGCGCTAAGCATTAGGCGACGCAGGATGCGACGCGACCTGAGCCTGCCTCTCTCTGCCTGCCGCTTATCGATTAAGCTACCTACGCCATCCTTATCGAGGGGAGCTCCTTCCTTCCACCTCAGGTTTGCGCCAACAGCCCCTTCCCCTCTTACCGGGACCTTTTAAAAGCTCTTCTCTCTGTTACCTACAAATTTCTCATCTTCATGTCGTTCGCCCCGACCGGTCAAACGTTCAATATGTCCATCGCGCATTGACAAGACGTTACAAAGGCATTCAGACATTCTGCAGGGGCTGTTCAACATGGGTCGCACAAAGCAGACCGCACGCCGCGGCAAGCCGATCCCAGTGACATCCACTGTCGATTTTCATGGTAAGTCTTTTCTTCAAACTAGAGGTTTTGATGAGCTGACATCGAAAGAACAATGGCCTGCCCATTTCATTGATCAACTACGTGCGCACCTCGCCGATCACGAAACACTGCCAGAGACCCAAGAGACAGACGAACCTGCAGCTAAACGAGTCAAAAGATCCAACAGCGACATTAAATCGCTACTTGTAGGAAAGGAATCTCTAGAAGTTGCGCGGAAATACCCGAGGGAACTACTTTCCGACTCATCGAAACACTCAACCATTTACCGCAATGTTGGCCCCCTCCTGCATGTTGGAGACAGACATGGCAAAGAATGGATTATTGCATCTCGCGCCAAGTCTGGCGCTCCAATACACGCAGTCGTACCGGTCTATCCGAACGCAGTGTCTCGGCGCTTATCAACGTGCTTGAGCCTTTTCAACAGCGGCAAGTGGAAGGAGTCAAGTGAGGAGGGCGAAATATGGGTGTCGCTCGATATTGCCATCTCCACGCTGGGAGATCACCTCCAGTTACAATTCCGCTTCTGTCTGTACTGGAACGAGACAAAAACACCTTACAGCCGACTGCGTTCAACGTTTGAGAGAAAACAAAGCCAAAAGATCCTCGATACCTTCTTGTCCGATGGCTCTAATACTATTGCATCCGGGAGGCAGAGCTGGTCGCCGCTCGACTTCTACGAAGCGGCGCACGTTCCTCCCTCTGACGATGAGAATGGCCTCAAAATCGATGTCCCGGAACTGACGGCATCATTATATCCTTATCAGAAACGAACTCTCAACTGGCTTTTGAAGCGAGAGGGCGTCTGCTGGAATAATTCGCCTGATGGGAGTTCTGTCGGACTCATTGAAGATTTCCCCGCTTCCAAGGATCTTAATACTGCGCACACTTTTCGCAAGACACAAGACGCACTCGGCGGAGACTTTCATGTCAGCCACGTGTATCATGTTGTCACCAGCGATCTTACGTCCTTCCAGCAGGCGGAACAATATGTCAGGGGTGGCATTCTTGCTGAGGAAATGGGTCTTGGAAAAACCCTTGAAGTTATTGGTCTGATCGCGCTCCATCGTCGGCCAGATGGCGAAAGCAACACGGTTCTTACTAGGGAGGGAGAAGAACTCCTCGCCACGGGTGCAACGCTCATTGTCTCGCCCAACTCACTTAAAGAGCAATGGATGTCGGAGATTCACCAGCACGCGCCTCATCTCCGAGTCAAATACTATCCCGGCCGCAAGAACGTGGGCTTTGAAAGCGAGGAGCTGCTCCGCAAAGATCTGGCAGCTCACGACATTATCGTAACTACCTACTCCATCCTGACTTCTGAGCTTCACTACGCCATCAAACCACCCGAGAGATCCCGAAGACAAGAGAGGAAGTACGAGCGACCTGCGTCTCCACTTACGCAGATGCTGTGGTGGCGAATCTGCCTTGACGAAGCCCAGATGATCGAGAGTGGTGTTACAGGTGCTGCTGCGGTCGCCAAAGTCATACCTCGAGTCAATGCTTGGGGCGTAACCGGAACCCCAGTCAAGAACGACGTCAAAGATCTGTTTGGTCTTCTCAACTTCTTGCGTTATGAGCCCTACGCCTCCTACGCGCCAGCTTGGAAAGCCTTGACGGACTCTCACAAGCCCCTCTTCCGGTCACTATTCGCCTCCATCGCCCTACGGCACACAAAGCAGCTCGTTAGGCATGAGATTGCTGTGCCACCGCAGAAGCGATTTGTGATAACCTTACCGTTCACAGCCGTTGAGGAACAGTACTATGGCGAGATGTTCAGAAACATGACCCGAAATTGCGGCCTGGATATGGCCGGCAATCCCTCCAGTAACGATTGGAAGCTCGAGCAGTATGAAACCGAGATGCGGGCATGGCTCAATCGACTTCGACAGGCAACACTTCATCCTGAGATTGTTCAACGACGAGGCAATGGAAGAAAGGTCGGTCCCATGCGGACGGTCGACGAAGTATTAGACGCTATGCTTGAGCAGGGCGACAACGATATCCGAACTGAGCAAAGAGCATACTTTCAGGCACGGCTTCTTCGCGGCCAGATGTTGGAGAATGGTCCGAGAGTGAAGGAGGCTCTGGAAATATGGGAAAAGGTCAAGAAAGATGCTTCAGCCCTTGTTTCGGAGTGCCGAGAAGAGGCAGAAGACGCTCTGAAAGAGTTGAATTCTTCCGGCTCAAATCAAGATTCGATAGTTGACTTTCCCTCAGACGAAGATGATAACGAGGAAACGGACGAGTGAGTCTTGAAGACCATGATTGTTTTCCCGCCTTTCTAATCCTTCTAGTCTCTCGGGGGTAGGCCACGTCGGCGAGGCTCGAACGAGACTTCGCCATGCGTTGGAAATCCTACATAAAGCAACCTTCTTCTGTGCCAATGCGTTCTTCCAAATTAAGTCAAATAGCGACCTCACAGAGCCGGAATCTGATGACCACAGGAAGTTGCAGCAATTAGAAGATTCGGAATACAGCAAAGCTCAGGAGATTCGTCGAGAGATTCTGTCCGAGGTACGCTCTCGCGTGAAATTGTTTGTCTTCATCCACTAACTAGGCTGCAGAGTCATGCAAAGGCCATGTCACTGGTCAATAAGCTGGGACGGCAGGCTCAATCACAAACGTTCGTGGATATACCGGAACTCGCAATCAATTTGAACAAGGGCTTGGAGAGCGCAGGTGCACTTGAAAAGCTCGAAGAGCTCTATGGTGTCCTCAATGAACAAGCGAACATCATTGACGAGTGGAGAGAAGCCGTCATTAAGCTACTTTCCCAGCCACTGATCGACGAGGAAGCTGAGGTCGAAAACACGGGTGAAGAGTTCACAGACTCTACCAAAACCCAAGAAGAACTCATCGTATACGTACAAGTGCTACGTGCGGCTGTTGCTGATCGTCAGGATGCGATTTCGGGTCTCGAGAATGCGCTCGTGAAGCACGAGACTAAGGTCTCACTAATCACTGCTAAGGCGGATGAGGGTCCGGCCCCGGAGCAAATGATAGCTCTTCACCAACTCAGAGACAAAGTCAGACCAGACAGAGATCGGCATGGTTCACTACGAGGCGCCATTGCAGAGCTTCGAGCGATCGCCTCGCGGTTGCCACAGGACGGCGGTGGGCGCGCGAGCGTTGAGCGTGAAATCGTTGTCAGGCAGATAAGAGAAACCCAGGCACATATCACCGCGCAAACCAAGGCCGCGACGGCGCTCGAGCGGGAGATGGACAGGTTCACGAGTGCCATGAATGCCAGAGTCGAGTATTATCGACAGTTACAGGCTGTGTCCGACAGTGTGGCCCCGTACGAGGGCCCCAACAACCAGCAAGCTATTGATTCATGCAAGGTCAATGAGGATCAAGCCCGTCAAAAGTTCGACGCCGCAAGGGCAAAACACAGATACTGTGAGTACCGCCTCCACCACACGGTTGCATTGTACTGATTCGCGCGTCTCCAGTGCTCAACCTGAAGGAAGCCGGGACACAGTCAAATGAGCCCCGGATGTGCATCATTTGCCAGTCATCATTCACGATCGGTGTCCTCACTGTCTGTGGCCACCAGTTCTGTAAAGACTGTATAAAACAGTGGTATCGAGCACATCATAACTGCCCAATGTGCAAGCGAAAGTTGAGACTAACTGAGCTTCACGACATCACGTTGAAACCGAGAGAGGTCAAGTTGCTCGAAGAAACGACAACATCGACAACGCATGAGCCCAAAGACAAGAACGCAAGAACCAATGGCATTTACTCACAGTTTGGCTCTGAGAAGATTGCTCAAATCAAGGATATCGAGTTAGCGGGCCTATCGTATGGCAGCAAAGTGGACTCGATCGTGCGCCATATCATCTGGCTGAGGAAGACCGATCCTGGTGCCAAATCAATTATTTTTACTCAGTATGCCGGACAGCATTTCCTAGGAAACAGCATGCTTACCATTTGTACAGATACCGCAGTTTCTTGGGCGTCCTGAGCGCCGCTTTCTTCCGCTACAAGATAGGCTTTGCGTCCATTGACTCGTCAACCGGGATCCAGAGATTCAAGGAAGATCCGGGCGTTGAAATATTCATGCTCCACGGACGGGCACAGTCTAGCGGTCTCAACTTGGTGAACGCGAGCCATGTATTCCTCTGCGAACCACTCCTAAACACGGCCCTCGAGCTCCAAGCTATTGCGCGAGTCGACCGAATTGGGCAGAAGCACGAGACAACGGTGTGGTTGTACTTGATTGAAGGGTCAGTTGAAGAATCCATTTACAACCTATCAGTCAAACGGAGGATGGAGCACATGGGCAAAAACTCGAAAGGGAAAGGAAAGGAATCCACCCCCGAGGTGGCAGAGCCTACACTAGAGGCTGCGAACACGCTCGAACTCGAGATTGCTTCTCTCAATCATCTCATGAGCAAAGACAAGAATGCGGGAGAAACGGTAGAAGCGGGTGATCTTTGGGAATGTTTGTTCGGAAGCGTTCCTAAACGCATTACGGCGAGTGTGGCGGAAGGCATCATTGCCGACAGTAGAGAGGATTAGATGTAGACTTCACTTGGTCTTTGGTGGTGATGCGAAGCCTGTCGAGGAGATATCGACCTTGTCGTGTTTGAGTGGCGTCCGGGAAAGCATTGGAAGCGATTTTGGACTTTATTTGTTCGTCTGGGTATACAATGATGAGATGTACCAAGCCATTTTGATAGAGAGTTGCCTGATAAGTCAACGGACTGGGAGTTGACAGCATTCAGACCAAAGAAATTAGAAACGAATCCCACGTCGCCGCCGGGCTTCATGAAACGCGGAACTAAACATGTAGAATCAAGGCTCACTACAATCCTCGAGCCTTGATTCTCGGTCGTGTTCTTGGAACAAGAGAGTTCACGTCTAATGCTATCCTACTTTCCTTCTAGCGGGGTAGTAGCGGGGCAGTGAAGCATGAAAGCGGCACCGTTCCCATGCTTCATTCTTTGTCAAAAAGAAAGCCGAGCTCCACTGCTGAAGACTGCAGCTTGGTCCGCTCCGGGGCGGTAACAAAGCGCAAGGGTTCAGGGGTTCAGGGGACCCACACAGCTGGCACCAGCTGTTGCGGGGTCTTCCTTGGAGAGAATCAAGTCATAATCAACTGCGTCCAGGCTGAGAGTCACCTGCCAATAACCAACTAAAGCAGCTGATATTACATCCCACCCAGCGAACGACCTCAGCAACCCCGCCCGAACCCGTTCGGATCTCACGAGGGGCTCTGCCATGAATTGAGAGAGATTGAAGACTGCCTCCAGGCCAGCAAAAACACACCAGATGCAGCTGTACCCCGGCGGTTATCATGTATAGGACTCGAGGAAATGCCCCTCAGGGGGGCGGTATCCTCGGCGCGTTGAAGGCGACCGAGATGCTGGATTCGAGGCCGAGTCTGCCAGCAGGTTGGTTTGAGTCCTTTGGTTGGAATTGGAGGAATTGGAGGAATTGTGTACTGACCTGTCCGCCAGAGATCCTCGTCGCGATCCTCGACTACCTTCCCGTCGCAGACCTGATGCAGGTCGCTCGAGCTTCCCGTCGCATGCAAGAAATGGTGTACGATGATACGAGATGGGTCGCCAGATTGAAGAGCATGGGATGTTGGAACGAAGCCGAGGCGAGGCAGCGGTTTGATGAGGCCATGCGGAAGAGACGGGAAGCCGCCGAACGGGCGGCGAAAGGCGCCGCTGGAGGCCAGCCAGGAGCCCCAGGAAGCCACCCTCCGAAACCCACGAGTACGATGTTGTTCGATGCCACGGTTGAGGAAGAGCGCCGGAAACGCCAATCGGCAGCGCCTCCTGTCGATGGATTCGAGAGGATGACTGTAGGAGCACCAGCAGCCAAGGACCCATTCAAGGACCCGGAGGCGCTGCTGGATGTGATCAAGAACTCGAGGAGCATCAGGGGCCATGCAAGAGAGGAATATGGCAAGATTTACGGCTCATTCGCGCCTTTCTATTTCGACCTTGCCAGGGCGAAGAGCCACACGGATCCTATCGTCTTCCAGGTGTTCAGGGACCCTGAAAGACAGGCTAAAATGCTTTCGAATCTGCAAGTATTTACAAAGAGCGACTGGGCGCAGGGGTGGAATCAGCGAGAGGAACGACTTATGACCATGACGAGTATTTTTGAGGGCGCGGTACTTCGAGAGTTCGAGCAGGGGTACGAGTTTTGGGATGTTGACGGCCGCATGAAGCGGTACGCGCATGTGCTGCATACACTGAACGGCGGCAACGCAGCAACGGAGCTTTTCATCCAGAAGCATCCTATATTCAGCGACCGCGAGGTCCTGGCGGTCAATTCGTCGGATTGCGTCAACCAGACCAGTGGGGACGAAATCAACTTGGAACCCTCCCGACTGTTTTTCGAGATGCTGCTGCGGAAAGTCAACGAGCACGCTGAGATTATTGGGCGCATATTCGCCAATCCCGATGTTGTGTTCTGGGAGTTTATGGAAAAGGTCCGGGAGGATGTTATCATGGACTACATCACACCGCTTTTTGATGCAACGCACGACAGAAACCTGCAGTGGTATCTGAAGGCTGTGGCTGGAACCTTTGAGCAAGGCATGCTCTTCTTCAAGTCCGTGGTCCCTCCAAAAGACTCCAAGAGCAACCTCGAGGAAAAGGCCAAGGAGATGATGTTGAGAGTGTTTGAGCCGCATCTGGACCTGTATCTGCAAGAGGAGCTCGACTTTTTCACAAGACATGCCGAGTCGGAGGTTGCAGAATGGGAGAAGAAGCTCTCTGAGCAAGACGCCTCTGTCGAGTCGTTCTACATGAGCAACTTCAACAGACAGGCAGATAAGAAGGACTTTCTGAGTTCTTTCAGAAAGGTAGTCATGATGCCCGTCACGGTGTTGCCATCTTTTGGCAGCACGAGTACAACAACGAAACCCACCACACCAACCGGCACATCTGCCCTTTCGCCTCAGCCGTCTAGACCGCATACGCCCAGTCTTGCACCAAACACGGACGGAAACGGCCGTCTCAGTCCTCTGCCCGCACAAGCTCCGACCGACGAGCTGGCGGCCAAGGCTGCTCTGATGGCTTCCAGAATGGAAGGCATTAAGACTCTTTTCAGTATCGAAATCGCCCTGAACCTAACGCACAAGGCGAAGACGAGCATGGGTCGCGCATCGCTGTTCATACAGCTTGGAGGCCAGTACGGCGAGGAAGCCCGTGAGCAATGCGAAACGATATTCGTAGTCATGCTCCGTATCCTAGGCAACAGACACGTCAAGGTCGGCTTCGAAAAGGCCGTCGAGCACCTTTCTCACTACAACCCCCGTGAGGTCAGCGATCACAACCAGTCCGGCGTTGCGCCCCTGGTGACCTTTATCGAGCTGGTCAACGTAGGCGACCTCATCTCTCAGATGATTGACGTTTTCTACGAGCAGCAGCTCGCCGGCCCAAAGATTGCAGACCGCAACGACTTCCTCGACCCCGCCGGCATCGCCAAGAAGAAGTGGGAGCAGATGCTGGACGAGAGCGTTGCGGCAGGCTTGAATAAGGGCATTGACGTCCTCATGGATGAGGTAGAGTACCTCCACGGCACGACACAGCAGCCGACCGACTACAACCCCTCCGAGACGGGCGGCATCTTGGCCGACCCGGGGCCGACTGAGACGGCGCTCCGCATCAAGGAGCTCGTGTCTTCGCACACGCGCATGCTGGTCGGCACGACGGAGAAGTCGATGCTTGATGTATTCAACGGCGAGGTGGGCCTGCGGCTGTTCACGGCCGTGTGCAAGCATCTCAAGCGGCAGCGCATCAGCACTGAAGGTGCCATCAAGCTCATTGCCGACATGAACCTATATTTCGAGTACATTCGCACCCTCAAGAACCAAGACCTGCTTGCCTACTTCAAGGCATTGCGCGAGCTGAGCCAGATCTACCTCATCGACGCCAAGCACGCAAAGGAGATGGCCACCATAATTGCCGACGGCGACCGTTTCGAGGGTGTGTTCCGCGCCGAAGAAGCGTATGAGTTTGCGCAAAGACGATCGGATTGGTACACAGTTAGAAAAGACGTGGAACGGGCAATGTACGGGATGGAATGCTCGCTCATGTAGAGAGGCATACACCGGATGGTGCTATATAGCAGTCTCATTCTCGTTGGAAATCATCTCCAATTGGAGAAATCAGATAGCCTGTCCTATTCTTAATAATACCCCTGCTTGAACCCAATTGAGCCGTAACGCCTGTCATGCTGCATTGTTTTTATCCCCATTTCGCCATATTCATGAGATAAGAGCGTCAAAAGCCCCGTACGCCTTGCCCTATCTTGGTCCAAAGTCCAGCTTGCGCGCAACCTTAGCACCCCTGTCCTCCTCGACCAAACCTGGCCGCTTCTTGAGATCTGCACCCATCTTCTCCTCGCCGCCGCCCTTCTTGGGCAGATCCGCATTACGCGAGGGCTTGGGCTCAGTGCGCCACCAGTTGTGCTTCAACATGTCCTTGGCCGTGATGCGCTTCTTAGGATCGAGAATGAGCGTCTTCATGAGCAGGTCCACGCCCGCGGATCCCACGGTGCCGAAAGTACCCTGGTAGTAGTCCCTGCCCCTGACCGGCTCGCCGTCGTCGGGGACGGTGTAAGCCGGCAACTTGGTGACGCCTGGCCAGTTGTCTTCTGTGGGGGTTCCGACGGCACGACAAATGAGCGAGATCTGCTGAACCTCCGTCTCGGAAGGCATGTACGGCGCACGGATGATGAGCTCCGCAAACACGCAGCCTACGCTCCAGACATCGACAGCGCCGCTGTAGTGCTTGCAGCCGAAGAGCAGCTCAGGAGGGCGGTACCAGCGTGTGATGACCTGGTTGGTCATGACCTGGTGCGGATCCGCGAAGCCTCTCGCGAGACCGAAATCAGCAAGCTTGACCTCGCCGTCGGCAGCGATCAACAAGTTGTTGGGCTTGATATCGCGATGCAGCACGAAGTTCTCGTGGCAGAACCAGACGGCGCGGGTGAGCATACCCATCCAGGCCTTGATATCTGCGGCACCGTAGCGGACGTTGGCAGTGTCTTTGATGAGCATCTCGAGGTCGCCAAGAGGGAGGTATTCGAGGACGAGGTTGAGGTTCTGGTCTTTGGAGGAGAAGACGGAGAGGAGGGAGATGATGTTCGGATGTTGGAGTTCCTGGAGGTGCTTCAGTTCGCGCACGGCGTCGGGGGCCATGCCTTCCTGGTATTCTTTCTGGACTTTGATCTTCTTGATGGCGACGAGGGAGGACTTGTCGGAACGGAGGTGGCCGAGGAAGACGATGGCGTAGGTACCTTCACCTAGCTTCTTGCCTGTGCAGCGATTAGCATCGCCATTGTGAATTCGAGAAAACATATCAAATACTAGGCATACCTTTGACGTATTTGCGCTTCTCTTCCTCGTTCATCTGCTCGGCAAGGTCGAGCGTCGGCGGCAAAGAGGCGGGTGCATTCTTGTCCTTTGGCGGCTGCGGCGTGCCGTTGGCGGAAGCCTGGTTTGACGACACATTTTTGAATGGCGAGCCGATTGAGCCCGCCGGCTTCAGCGCGTCGGTCGCGCGGACGACCAGTGGTGAGGCCGACATCGTGGTTGTCGTGATGGCAGTGGCGATGCGGGATGAAGGTTCACGACGGACAAGGCGGCGGGATCTCTGCAGCCTTGTGAAGCGTCGCAGGGTTGATTGGTTCGAAGCGCCACAGCTGAGCTGAGCCACATTTCAGAGTGGCTGATTGAACGATGTCTCATGATTGGTGTATTAATGCAAGCCCAGAGACAGGCATGCCACGGCTGCTCAATTTTCTAGGTTCTGGGCTTTGTCAGGACCACGGGAAAGACTGGACGACACAACTCGAGTCCACGTACTGTACATGCGATTTTGCTGACTCGCGTCCGGAACCCTTGCATTGTCCCGTATATTCCAATGCGCAGTAGACACGAAGCTATCTTAGACGCACGTCGCCAGCCACACGCTGCTGACACCACCTGTTCGCGACATCCCAGCCATAGGGCACATTGGATAAGGTATTCCAGATAGGGCGCCGGAGGTGCCGGCAAAGCTGGCAGGTGCCCGTCTGGTTCGGGGCACCAGCCTCAAATTGCGCGGCGCAGAGATCACCCCTCGAGGCGGGCGGACTTTGGACGATTTGGCGCGATGCGACGGACCTGATCCCGAACCCAGTGGAAGACCCTTCTCTTTTCTGTCAAGCCTGCCGAAGTAGCTAGAAATTGCGGCGGTGCATGTTCACTTGGCGAACACATCAACACCCCGTCACGCCGGCCGGGGAGGCGGACATGGTTGCTCCCCGTTTCCCGAAGTCCCAACACCATCTTCAGCCCTCCGCCGTAACGGCACCGCGTAAACTTCAAGGCTGTTCCCGTAAAATCCGCCCCGTCCGCTGCAGGTTACATGGGTTTGCCTTCCGGGGCCGAGGACAAAGCACCGGAGAGGGTGTAGGGTGAGAGGAACTCAACATCATCGATTGATCATTGAACCGCGGCGACCGCGCAGCGCAAATCGACTACTACGTGGGAATTACTCGGCCAAACCAAACCGGCGAGACACACTAGAAATTTGATGGAAAGACGCGAACGCGACGCAACGCAACAGCAAGATGGCCCCGAAATTTGCTACTTGGCGCCCAGTGTTGGGCTTTTCGGTGGACACTACCCTACGTCATCTCCCGGCGGTGCCCCAAAACCAATGACATGATCACCCCACATAGGCCACTGGTAGCGCGCGACAGGGTCTGGCGCTGGAGCTCGCCCGCTTCAAGTGCCGATCAGTCATGACTTCAGGCCGTGCCTGGCTGGTTGCTGTGCTACTTTTTTTCCTCAGGAGCGCCCGACGACGACGCCAGCCCGGCCCACACGGCACGCAAGTACCTCCTCCAGCCATCAGCAGGAGATCGTGCTATCGAACGGGGACGGGAGCGCCTCCCGAGTCTTAAGTCCGCCGCCCCGGTTCAGCCAAGACAAACACACGACGCTTCTCTTCTTTCCCAATCTAATGCTCAAGCACTGCCTTTTTTGACGTGCCACTGCCTCCTCCGCCCAACATTCATTAACCTCGAGATCTCCAAATTATCCCTCGCGACCACCACAGCACATCTCCCGTCCTCCCACGTGAAACACTAGACCGCAATCTTCAGGGGCATCGTCTCAATTGTTCTCGTCTGAAGCAGTCTTCCGAGTATCACTTCATCCCTACCCGAAAAATCACATTCGGTAAGTCTTGCAGACTAGCATGTGCATTCTTCCTTTTCATTCGTCATTCTGCGTCACCACAACCAACACCCCCCTGGATGAGGCTCAACGGCCTGGAATCATTCTCCATATGCTACCTCCTGCAAATACCAAGCAATGCCCCTGGCTTGGACATCAGAGCTAACCACCGCACAGAACGCCGTTCAGATATCTTATCGCCATCATGAGGATACTTTCGTACTGGGTAAGCCATCTTGCTGGCTCTTGACTCTCAACCGCATCTAACAGGCCGTAGATCTTCCCAGTCTTGTCGGGCCTGATGTGGCTCGGCATGCTACTCGGCATGCTCATCTACTGGATTGTAGACGAGAAGAGGATTGTCTACCCTAGCATGACCCCGCCTCAAACCATCGCCTACATCAGCGACGTTGGAGCTTATGAACTGAAGCCGCTCTTCATTGCTGGCTGCGTAATTACAGTCATCTTCCTCGACCTGTCCTTCTTCTCCGACTGCTGGCTGCGCCATACGGGCCGTCTCGCACCCAATACATCCAGGGGCCAAAAGATTCTCTTCGGCCTGTCCATCTTCTGGGCCATCGTCGGCACTGTGGGACTCATTTGCCTCAGTATTTTCGACACCTATCGGCACGATAACCTTCATTTGATGTTCCTTGGCTTCTTCATCATCGGCTACCTGTTGTCGGCTATTTTCATCTGTTGGGAATATCAACGCCTAGGAATGAGTACGTTCATCGTCTTCTCTGTACCAACGACAGGCTGCTAACTTTATTGCAGGATACCGCGAGCACCGCGTCCTAGCGGCTTCATTCTGGGTCAAGCTGATCTTCATCATTGTCGAGATCGGTCTGGCCATCCCGTTCGTTGTCTTACAGAAGCTTAAGCGCAACAACGAGGCGGCAATCATCGAATGGGTCATCGCCTTTGTCTTCTCCTTCTACGTCTTTTCCTTCATCATTGACCTGTGGCCTGCTATGCGCACACGCGACAAGACCGCACGGTTCTCAAAACCTGGGCTGAGAGAGATGTCTAGCACCAGTCCTCCCAACTTCTGAGACGGGAGAAGTTTTGCACGAGGTAGAGACAATGAATTGAAGAGATGAGGGATCATGTGCATTCTTTACGGAATAGCGATGTTGCATTACGGAGATGGTTTCTGGGGCTGGCATTACAGGGCCGGCATTACGGGCAGGCATCACGGTCCTCACAAGGCCGGACGGAGTTTGGAGTTCTTTATATCCCCCTTACGACATGATGGAAAGCATTGCAGAGTTATCTATTGAGCGCTCGGAACGTATACTTCATGAATATTAATACCTGATTACCCAGTTTTAAAGGGGTTCTTGAATTTCCCTGGGCGTCTTGCCCACCACTACTATCGTACGAATACTAACCTATGGCTGACGGCGGTGACCAGAAGGATTCGATTGTATGGCCTGCACATGGGATGATTTGGAGGGTCTCGTTTTCTTGAGCTCTTATTAAGTTACGAAATTTTTCATGCAGTATGTTTTGGACAACAAGCACATGTAAGGCTTGAGAGTCGAGGTGTTATTCTAGGACATCTCTATACCATGATGCTTCGTATGTTCCTCTTTGTGTCAATCAGTCGCTCAAGCAGATTAAATCACGAACTACACGTGAGAATCTTCATCCAATACCAAAGCGTGAAGAGATTAGGAGTAAAAATAAGCACGTGTTGCCGGTCTCGGCTGTCGATATTGAATGTAAAGATACTAAACACATTCTTGCCACTAACACCGCTCGCTGACCATCCCTCTGGCTAAGCCCCAAACCGTTCTATCCTGTACGCCCGCTTGAGAAAATGTCCGAAACCAAACGTTCCTATTCCATCATCTCTCGGAACCGCGAGTCTCTCGTCGGGCTGCTGCTCTTGTGCTTGCTAGGGTCTTTGAGGGTGGGCGGCGGCGAAATGGGCCCCTCGAGATCGTCTCTGGCCTCCACAAACCGCTCCGACTCATCGTCGCTCGTGATCGGGCTGACATCGTCATGGCCCATGGGCGACCGGGGACTCTCTCCCACCGACTTGCTGCCGCTCTTGCCAGCGATGGCGACCTCGCGCATGCTGGCTGATCTCCCATCGAGACTGGTTGCACTCTCGTTGGCAAGGCGTGTGAGTGCGACACCGCCGATAAAGCCCCTCTCCTCGGGAGGGTTCTCCCCGGCGGCTGAACGGCCCCGTGGGCGCGAGAAGCGGGATTTGAGCCACTCCTTCATCTTGTGTGTCGGAGATCCACTCTCGCTCGGCGAGCGAGCAGTGTCACTCCCGCTAGGAACATCTTTCTGGGTGTTGATGGTTGGCTTCGTGTGGCTTGCCCTGCTGGACTTGGGCCGCGCATCCGCGTCACTTGTTTCGTACTGCTGGGAGGTCTCTCCTGCCTCGAGAGAGTCTTCGGTAGGGACCTCGGGCTGCTTCGACCTGCGCTTCTCGCTGCTGGAAAGGCGTTTCTCCTCCGCCCTGGCAGCCTTTTCCTCTTCCTTCTTGGCCTTGGAATCCATCTTCTCGCGATGCCGCCTCTCTTTTTCCTCTTGCTTATCTGATTCTGTAGACATGTTAGTACTGTTCACGCTTTTTGGAAAAATTGCGCCACATACCCCTGATCTTGCGATTGATCTCTCTGATTTCTCGGTCGCGTTCCTTCCTCTTCTCTTCGTCCCTCTTCTTGGCTTCGGCCTCTGCCTTGGCGATTTCTTGTCTCTCCTTCTCGATGGCGGCCTTTTCGTTGATCTCATCGAGAACAGGTTGCACCCTCTTGGCGGCAATCTCATCAATGAGCGCCTGGTCCATGAACATTCCGCCGCCAATATCGAGTTTGCCCTCGTTCTCGTTGGGAACCGAGTGTTTGGCTTGGGCGGCAAGGTGAGCCTTGAACTCCCAGTCAGTCATGGTACTCGGTGGCACCATGCCCGTCTCCGCTGAGATCTTCTCGTCCATTCCCTGCAACCTGGCGCTGACGTTCCTCTGCGCAGCAGCCATCAAGGCTTCGCGGTCTTTGGCTCGCTTTTGCTCGTCGACCTTGGACAGGTTGGAGGAAAAGATGGACATCTGTCTTCTAATACGCTCAGATTGCTCCTTGTCCTCGTCCTTGATGTCACCGTCGCTCGAAGACCGTCGCCTCAGCTTGCCCTTCATGGTAAATATCCTCTGAGGTTGCTTCGCGGAACTGCCGTTGCCGTAGTATTCCTGGTAGTCCCGGTTACGTTGGTGTTCCTCGCTCAGTTTTGACAACCGTTCCTGAGCCAGCTTATACGCTGCCTCTTGCAGGTTTACGTAGGGCCTCGGCTGATTATCCGCAGGGCTCATGTCACCCGATTGCCGGTGAGCTTCGCGCGTTTGGTCAACCATCTTCTGTTGCTGACTGTACATCTTCTTCGCCATAGCCACAGCGGAGGCATGTAGCACGTCTGCCCTCTTCTGCTCATCAAGTTCCGGACCGATGGCGGGAGAAGAGGTGAACATCTTTCGTGACAGGTTGGTGTATGGTACTGAGCCGGAAGTCTCGGTCGGTGACTTGGGCTTCGTAGGGCTGTGAGCGGCAGTGGCAGCACTGAGTGCATTGGCCGCAGCTCTAGACTCATCGGGATACGACTCCTTAGGTACAGGCGTGGATTTCGCGCGTGGCCTCGTCCGCCGTGGAGCGGGCATAGCGCTTTGAGCCGCGGAGAGAGAACCAAGACCGTCGGTCGAAGTGGCGTGCGCAGGCTTCCGAACTGACAGGCTTTGCTTGAAAGCCTGGTTGGCGGCGCTGTTTCCCCATGAATCGTGACGTGACGGGCTAGAGGTCGTCGCAGATGCCTGCTTCCTGGCCGAGGCAGAAGCTATCAGGGCAGCCTTAGCGCCCGCGGAGCTCGAGTTGGGTTCCCATGATGGGACCATCTTATAGTCCTTGGCCAACATAGCAGCTGTAGATGCTGAGTTTGACTTTTCGGGTTTCCAAAGGTCGATAGATTTTTGGTTGGCCCAGCCCAAGGATGCTGCGGCCCCAGCGGCGGCTCCATCACTTTTAAGACCAGGGGACGGGTAGCTGGGCAGATCCCGCGGGTCTGCGTACTTGAGTCTTCCTGAGTGGCCTGCTGATTGGGATGGTTAGAGTGACTTTCTTCGTTTTTTGATGGGTCACATTGTCTTTCTCTCGACAATGACAAGGGCTCGTATTTTTGAGGGGCTGGGTTCTAGTAAGTACCTGTTGCCGGTAGCGAGTACCGTGCTTCCGCCATGGCTGGCTGTTGCGTCGTTGTCTTGGAGCTGGCTTGCATCATCGCCAGCCCGGGTGCCGGCTTGGTGGTATCGATATACCCGCTTTTCTTGCGGAGAGGTTCCTCCTCACAGGGTGGTGACGAGGGTTTGATGGATGTATAACTACTAATTGGATATGGATAATACTACAAGGGTGACGGAATGACGGGAAAAGTGGAAAGTGATTGACGACATTCGGGCTTACACGCGCAGGGCCGCAGGGCCGCGGGTAAGTGGACTGAGGATAAGTTGGGAAGAGGCGCAAGGTGGAAGTTATTTCTGGAGCTGCTTATCCGAATTGTGTCGCAAAAAGGATCGTACGCACCACCAAAGTATCGGGTCGTAGCTGTCGTTTAGGGTATCGTAATTGGGACGACAAGAGAGTTACGTCGCAGGGTAGGGCAGTGCAGGTGCAAGTTGCAGGCCGCAGGATGGTAAATCAGGAACGAAATGCCGGAACAGGCGCAGGCGGCAGGGCATCGTGCCTAGGAGGGATAGGAGTTATATCATTCAACCTGCACACCTCGCGCTGGGAAACAGAGAGTCAGTCATTCAGGTCAAAGGTGAAGGGTCCGGCGCGCACGATGAGGTATGTTGGGTCTGGTTGGCGCACCTCAGTCTTAGTGCTGAGCGACCACGGCTGCCGCCGTTACGTCATGTTGCGACTTGGGTGGTGGCCCATCCGCTTTGGGCCTTAGCGGTCTCCTCTGCCTATGCTAGCCGCTTTGAGAACCCTCCCAATGATCAATCCTGACACACCCCTGTCTAGCCCGTCTACCACTGCTAGTAGTCAGCTCAGAATGTCTTCACCTCAAAGAGTGGTGCACCTGAGTCTCCGTTGGGTACCGAGAGGAACGAATGACACCCACCAGGGCTGAACTGCGCTATCCGTTGTCGCAAACCTCCTCCACGTCCACACTGTCGGCTGCCTCGCCGGCGCTTGTGGCTTCCGATCGACACAATTGCCCTTTAACCTCTGGAGACGGCCATTCCGGTGTGCCGTTTTCCTGATGCTGCCGAGTGCTGGACCACGTTCTGGCCACTGGATTGGGCAATGGGACACGATGATCACTGGTTGGGACCTCGAGCTAGACCCAGCTCGACCGGCCTGGAGGGACTTGGGAGATGGGCCCTCCGAGCCGGACTCTGCCGCGTGCTGCTTCCCTGTGTTTCTCCTGTTTCCGCGTCTTCACCGACTGCGAAAGCCGAAGAGCTCTCTGACTTTGGGTGCCTGATAAGGCGCCGGTGATGGCCAGGAGAGTCAAAGACAGTTTGGATCAGGGCTCAGTAGAAGAGGAAACCCAATTGCTCCGTGTTAGAGGCATGTCCTGGGCTGATAGGCTTGCTTTTTCCCTTCGTTCCAGCTGCCGCACCGTACCTGATATCTCCTGAAGCTTAATGGGAGTCTTCATTCGTTGAACAGACTGGTGCACAGTCAGCCTCACCTCGGATGGTCGATGGATGGATGCATCGCATTCTGCATGCTTGAACTGCTATCAAATATAACCACTTGGGACGAAGGTCCCGACCTGTTCGTGCTCAGACAGTTTGCTCGATCCGATATGCTGGAAAAGCAGACATGCGACCTGGAAGCCTAGACTGTGCCAGTGCATCACCGACCGCATCTGCTTGGAACAGACGTCCAACAAGATTGCGACCGGCAAACGGCCTGATCTAGACCACCACCGCGCCATTTCACATCTCAGACCTGGGTCCTAGCTGCCCTCAGTGACATCAAACCCCCCCCCCCGGTTCTTAAGCTTTTCGGGGACTTGCAGGGATCTGCTGGACCCCGGTCGATGATCCAAACCGCCTATCTGACAGCGACAAGGGCGTCAAATTGAGGTCGGACGGCCTACGAGTGGGCTTGAGGGAAAGGGAGGGCCCGGGGGGTCACTCTCGCCTGGCACCATCACGTCCCCATATTCCGGGGGGAAGAAGCCCAGGGAGCAGAAAAATCGTGGCGTCAGAGCAACGTCGCTCCTCGCATCTCCATCGGTGCCAGAGACACTCACGCTTGACACACCCAAAACCCCCGCCGCGCCATCAAACTGCTAGTTCGGTTTCCCAGCGGTTGACTAATACCTAACCACCCTCCCCAAGACTTCTGCAGCGCTGGCTGGGCAACTCAACTGCTAACTAGGCCATGGACAACTGTGGCGTGACTTCCGTCCTGAACTTCCGTGACGTCGGTTCCACGGTGAACAGCTATCTTGGACGCAAGTACGTTTGACCCCCTTCTTACTGTGCACCCTCATTTTTGCCTGGTTATGAAACCGGGGTTCAAACAGAGGCACACGGCACACAGGCTGACTTCGTTTCTCGTATCTGCTGCTTAGACTTATCCGGGAAGGCTTGGTGTTTCGCTCTGCGAGACCAGGTGTGTGAAAACCCTCTAATGCATTATTGCACTCTATGCACAACTCTAGATTTTAATCATCTACAGACGATGCCTCGTTGGAGGACAGGAAACGCCTCCGGGATGACCTGGGCATCAAGGCGGTGATTGACCTGCGCACCAAGTAGGTAGCGAGTGTCACACTCACACACTCACATTCACCGTCCTTCTCCCTTGGACATGCCAGATCCCGCACCCCGATCACCGACTGACGCCATCAAGGACCGAACACGTCAGGCAGGCCAAAAAGCGCCAGGCCGATCTCCAGATTCCCGCGCTCCTGCAGTCCAACGCTGCACTGGCTGAGCCGATCCAGATATCGGGCCTGAAGTATCACGAGATCAGAGTCACTGGCGGCAACTTTGAGCGCTTTCTGATATCGCAGGTCTCTTGGGGCGGATTCTTGTAAGGGAACTTGCTTGCATTCCCATTCCCTTTTGCTAGCTATGGCTAACTTCCAACCCCCCATTACGTAGCCGTCTCATCTTCCTGTTCATCTTCGGCTATCGCAATGAGGGTATCTCTATTCTATCCTGCGAGGTTATGCTGCCACGTGGCCTGGTAGGTCTGGGTCTCGACACCCTTGACCAATCCGGACCCGAGGTTGCCAAGGTACGTGAGCCTTCAGCAACGTTGCACACCCATCTCTGACGAGCAGCCTCAGGCCCTCAAAGTCTTCCTCGACCCTGCAGGCTCGCCCACGTTGGTGCACTGCACCCAAGGCAAGGACAGAACCGGGCTCATCGTGACCCTCGTGTTGCTGATCCTCAATGTGCCTCTCGAAGCCATTGAACATGATTACTCTTTGACGCAGGGAGCGCTCGAATCCGAGAGGGAAGAGAGGTTGATCGAGATAAGAGAGATCGGTTTGACAGATGAGTGGTTCGACACGGCACCGGATATGATCGCCAGAATCGCTCAGCACCTCGAAAGCGTCTATGGTGGAGTCGACAATTACTTGGACAAGATCGGGTTTGACCAGGATGACCGTCAGAGACTGAGGGAACGTCTGCTATGCTAGACCAGGCGTCGGACTCGGCGAGGATGATGCCAGCCATCTGTAGCCAGCAAGCAGTAGCAAGCAGTTTCACGGGCGTGCTGTTCTGTGCGCTGTACTATCGACTTGTTCATTCCTTCGTAAACCGTCCTTGCATCCAGCACCGGTACATCTTCAGTTTGCGGAGTCTGTTGACCAGCAGACGTCGGTCGACACCGATGTCATTTATGGTGAATACGGCCTTTGGGTCATCTCCCTCAGTCTTCTTCTTGCCAGACCAAATCTGCTCAAGCTCCTCCTTGTCGAAGAAGTAGACTCGGGTGCCGTCGCCACGCACGTAAAAGTTTTCGTCGAGGTAACGACCCTTCTTGAAGCGAACCTGGGCGAGATCACCTCTTCCATAGTCTCGGAAGCAGACCTGGCCTCCTGGCTTGAGGAGTCGGTAAATGTTGGAAAGGGCCTTGTCCCACTGATTGGGAGCCAAGGCAGAGAAGATGAATATGAGAATAGCAATGTCGACGGATCCCTCCTCCAACCCGGGCGGGAGTTCGTCGCTGGTCACGTCCCAGACGTCGGCCTGTACGATGCCTTGGCTGTACGCCTCCTGGCTTCGCATAACCTCTACGGCCGTCTTTGAGTAATCACAGGCATGGATCTTCAGGTTAGGGTTCTTGTTAAACTCCGCGATGGGGAAGGCGGTGTTGCCGGCACCTGCGCCTATTTCGAGGATCACAGTCTTGCCGGCATCCTCCTTCGTCACTTCTGTCAAGATAGGAAATTCCTGCTGCAGCCACTTCCTGTTCTTGAAAAAGTTTGCTGTGTTGTTCTTGTAAAAGGCATCCCACATTTTGGCGGGGTTGGCGTTGAATCTGTCTGAAAATTTCTTGTCAGCGAGCCGCACATAAAGAAGCAGGCATAAAAAAAACAAGTAATTTTGTAAAGGTGCGATCAGATGGGAGCGAAAGACTATAACAGAAGTTCTCATCACAAAGATTCAGCTGAACTATGCGAAAAAAATCTGAATCATCATAACACCTGTGTTGTTTTGTTTTTGGAAGCAGAAGCAACTGGGTAAAACTTACTCTTGTCAAAATCAGAGACCGGGGACTGACGCTGCATCTCGTATTGCTGCTCGGCATACTCCTTATAGGCATCGTCAGTCTCGACGTGGTCCCAAGCGTTGAATTCGAAGGCGTCATCGCCCTCTGCCAGGAAGCGACTGCCGAACTGAAACGGGTCGCTTCTCTTCTGGTTGAAGTCGGGGTCGCGCGATCTCTGGGTAGTGATAGGACGTTCCTCCTGGCCGTTGGGCTGGGACAACTGGAGATCGGCCGTCTTCTCAACGAGGCCTAGCTCGTCCACTCCATTGGGAGTCTGGACGGCCTCGGGAGATGCCATTGCAGATGTGACTGATCAGTACACAGGGGCCGAAGGTCCCACGCTCACAAGCTAATGCGGGCGTGCACACAATCTTCAAAGATCTCCAGGTTTTGGGTGGCACAGGAGGAAGTGAGTAGGAGTGAAAACAACTGACAATTTTTGCGCGCTGGTGAAGTTTTTGTTCGCGACGGGGAAGCTGCGGTGGGGCCAAGGTCGGCACGACGAAGGGCCGGCCACCGACTAAACCAATGCAAAGAGCGCAATTGACCCACCTGTCAATTACCCCTGCAAGTTTGAAGTGCGGGAGCTCAGTTAGGTTGGTCGGCGTCGCGTATCTAGCTAGAGGCAGGTACCCAGGATCGTTGACCTACAAACAACGTTCCTCCAACGACCGACGACAGCAACGAGAACCTGTACCTCGGAAGCCGACGCAGATCTGCCTCCCCCGATATCGCGCGACTCGAGCGAATACTCTCAGCGGTTTCTGCGAATACTACTGTCACTCTAACATGGCTCCATCTCTCGTGCGCCCCCAGGGCCACCTGTCCCCGGCTGAGGCTCTGGAGCTCGCCCAGAAGGCCCCAACGATTCTTCGAAATAACCCGAACGCGTTTTCTTCATCGCCCCTGGTCTCACTGTTCTCGGCATCCGAGACCCCAGAAATATGGATCATTTACGAAAACCTCCTGTTGGCCTGCCTTCGCACAGGCGACGGCCAAGCGGCACACCAATGTCTGGAGAGGCTGGTCATCAGATTCGGAGACGACAACGAGCGCATAATGGCATTCAAGGGCCTCGTGAAGGAGGCGGAGGCTGACAACGACGGAGAACTGGTCCAAGTGCTCAAGGAGTACGAGACGATCCTGGGACAGAATGCTACAAACATTGTTAGTTGACGAAGCCAATGTGACATACGAATACCTGCTGACTCTCAACAGCCGGTCGCCAAACGTCGTGTGGCGCTGCTCAAGTCAACAGGAAAGATCTCAGAAGCTATCAGCGCATTGAACTCGCTTCTCGACTTCTCGCCTACAGACGCGGAGGCCTGGGCGGAACTCGCAGACCTGTACCTCTCCCAGGGACTCTACTCACAAGCCATTTTCGCGCTTGAGGAGGTCTTGGTGCTGACTCCGAATGCATGGAATGTGGGTTATGCTACCATGCTTCACTTGGCGTTTTGTGTTGCTAACTGATGTCAGATACATGCCCGTATGGGGGAGGTGTTGTACATGGCCGCTTCAGCCTCGGACGGCTCTTCGCAGCAGCAACTAGCCGAATCTGTCAAGAGGTTCGCCCGCAGCATCGAACTATGTGACGACTACCTGCGGGGTTACTATGGCTTGAAACTGGCAAGTAAGCCCGCCAAGTGATCACCACCCGCAACTAACAGACCACCAGGCGACAAACAAACTTCTAAAGGAGCCCTCGAAGCCTTCGAGGCAAACAGATGCTGATGATTGGGCTGTCCCCGACACTAACACAGTGCAAAAGCTCAATGAGGTGGCTACGCAGAAGTTGGCCGAGATTGTGCGCCGCAACAGCGCGAAGGACAGATTATGGCAAGGTTACAACGAATCAGAAGTGGCAGCGGCGCGCGACCTGCTCTCCAAAGAGTCGGTTGAGCTCGTGAGATGAACAACGAGCCAAGAGCGACATGCAAACAACCTCATGATACATGGTCCTGTGACGATCCGGTCACGTTGGCAGGGCAGCATGCTAGCTTGCTTTATGCATGTAATTGACGAACTTGGCCCGACATATTCTGCTCTGCTCGTCGGGACTGGTGAGCAATCGGAACATTGGAAGCTGGGTCTGCATTGTATCTGCAGCGGATCACCACGTGCGACAACCATTGCCCAAGTTTCCTCGCTGCTTGCCGGCCAATGAGGGACATTTTGCTCGGTAACGGAACACGGAAATGAAATCAACGGGCAGCATTTTCTTATCGTTTAGGCATGCAGTTGGTGTCATCGTCATGTCGACAGTCGAATAGAGAGCGGCTCCGGTGATTTTGGCGATTGGGCAGGAAAAGGAGCCAAACTTACAGCGGATACGTTTCACCAGAGGGGCAGACGGTGCCACCCAATACCTTCAAATGGATTTTCAAGTTATTTTCCTCTCAGCTCCATCGCTCCAGTCGCGGCCATACCCGCAGGCGTGCCCAATGAAAGATGATCGAGTTGCAACTTGTCGCAGGGCTGCATGTCATCCAAGGTTCCAGGCATGGCGTTGGGAGCCCGACGACTAATAAGGCCCACAGCGTGCGCTGGCAGTGAGTCAGTGACATGATCCACGGACGGGTCTCAGGCACCGCCATTCAAGAACCATGCCGAGTCGATCTGAGCGAGCAGAACATTCAGAGCTGTCGGGCAACGACGAAGCTTCGTCAGGCGGGGTCTATTTTGGATGTTGATGATATGTCAGGACATCCATATGCCAATCAAGTTGCGCTGATGAGGTTCAGGTGTCACGTATATATCCGGGCGGTGCCATGTAAGTAAGCCGGGAACGAAGACAAGCCAGCGAGCCAGCACTTCATACGTCGATACCGACCTCAACTCTTCCCTGCTTTCTCCGTGTTCACGAGCAACTTGGCGCTTCAAATGAGGAAGAAGTTAAGAGCCAAACGCCGCTATCGTCACCCGCATTAGACCGAACCCTCACACCCAGCAAGGACAATCGCTGCTGCTGCGAAGACCTCAGGCCACGCGAAGCCTCGGCTCGTTCTTGATGTCTGTGGAATTCGGCCTCCATTTTCATGATGCCTTGCCTCGCACAGTACAGAGTACCTTCACACTGGACCCAACATTTGCAACATCACTCTCGCACATGCACAACAACGTTGCCCACTTGCAAGAGCATGGAGTAGTCAGATTCGTTGCGAATAATATCATTGTCAGTGCTATTATGTATCCACTTTTATTTTAGTGTGAAGCAGGCTGCGGATTGACTGCATAGTTTCGATGGCTAGCCAAGTCGACGAAGGGAAAACGAAGCAGCACATGTGGGGAGTCGGAGACGGTACAGCGCGGCGGCACAGGACGGCAAGGCAGGCTCGCACACGACAAGACTGACAATTGCGTCTGCCCTGGGTAAGGTACCTCTTCTGCGGAACCGGACGACACGCACATCAACTGCAGACCTCACAAGTACGTACGGGTACGGCGCCCTCCCGAAGTACCGTCGTTTCTTGCGGTGTGTTAGTCCCTCCTGCGGTGTGGTCAGGTAGGTGAGGAGGAGGCGAGGCGAGGCGAGATGGAACCAAACTGAACTTGGAAAGCCAGAGATTGGAATATGAGTGCTGACGGCTGCCTGTGGTGTGCAGTCCACCTGAGGCGCTCTCAGTGGCCATTCCTGCCGGCTCTTAAGAGAGGAAGACGAGTAATAAGCCGCGAGCCCGGGTTACCGGGGACTGAGGCACACAGCTAGGTGGCGCTGAAGGTAAGGTACCTTAGGAGAAGCAGCAACAGCAACAGCAACAGCAGCGGCGACAGCGGCAGCGGTAGGAGCGAGAAGTAGCATCGTTCCAGTTCTCGCCGCCGACGCCAATCGTCGACTCTCAACTCCCGTCGAGTCGAGTCGACTCGACGTTGACCCCTCCCTCCCTTCCGTGCTCCTCCCGTGCCGCCAAATAAATACTTTGCGACGTCTCATCCAGCCTGCTTAAACATACACTTATTCCGACCCCCAAGCCTCTGGTTCTTTTCTTCCTCGACATCCCACCTTTCCTGGATTTTGTCCAGCAATTGCTCCCAATCGGAAGCCGATGGGAGAAGAAAAAGGACGGGACACTCCCAGCCGAACCACCGCAGAAGCCCTACCAGCATCAACGAACGCCTGCCTTACCTAGAGGACCGTCCCGCAACGGAGCCCAGAGCCACGTCCAGAGCACGTTCCTCACCGAAACAGCTGGAGCGAGCGAGCCAAAACATCCATCGGCCGGTGCAGGTCGACCACCAGGGCCACACCACAGGGCAGACTGACACCATCGGTGCCGTCGGTAACAAAACGGTACGTACTGTCTGAGGACTGGGTACGCAGCTAGAGCTTATTTGACCCCGACCACGACCAGTCTTATCCGAACCTCGCCAGAAACCTTCCGGCCTAGAACCCAATTCAGCAGGAGACAGGCCCCGTGCATCTGATCTCCCATCACCTCTGGTTTCTGTCAGGTCTCAGTCGGTGTTCTGTCTCAACTTGGGATCGCACACCGCCAGGGACCAAAACAAAACACATGAGATTGGAGTCAAAGAAAAGGTATGTAGAATGCAATCTTTTTTTCTCACTGTTTTCCGGAACGCGTTTATTGCCTTGCCCATGCGAATCGAATCGGCCATCATCCCTCGCGTTGCTGCTGCTGTCCGTCAGGCACGTCTGGTGTTCCTTGCTTTCTTTTCATGTTTTCTTCTTCTTGTTGATTTTCTGCATCTTCCCTGTCAACAAGCTGCCAAGTGCCGGCTACCTACATCTCGCATGTTCTTAACGTGCCTTACCTTAGGTATCCTACTCTACCTTGTCCACAGGGCAACGAGCTGCCGGTGTCGCCGGGGCTGTTGTTGACGTTGGCATTGCCGTTGTTGCTTGACACACTGCGTAGCTGCATAGGGCAGTCAGTCTACAACGGCCTCGGTCGATGGCCGTTTGGAGAGAGGGGCGGCGTTGGATTTCGGGCATGCCACAAGTCGTGTATGTGCAGGCAATCTGGCGCAGCGCCGACCAGCGGGGTGGTGGTGCTGGTGCTGACAGTCATTCAATGACATTCCAACGTCCACTTTGCGGTCCCATCCTCCACCAACGGCGTGGCCCAAGGTCCATCTTTCGCTGGGGGGTGTCCAAGTGGGACAACAAAGCAAGGGGGATTCGAGACCGCCGCCCAGCCTCAGATGTCCCCTCCCCCCCTCCATGTTCGCAGTTCTACCTACGGATACCTGTCGTCTGCATCGTCACCCATTCTCCTCCGGCTCTGGCTCAGATCACTGGCCTCTGCTCGGTTCTGCCCACCTCTCTGCCTGCTGTGCTGGCCCTGACCCTGCCCTATTTCGTACACCACGCGGCAGCTATCTTACGCTGTGGCGAGATGTTTTGTGCATTTTGTCTCGAAGCTGGCTGTGAGAAATGGCGGGGTCCATAGTGTGGTCTTGGTCAGGCTCCTCCCGCCTTTTGGTCGGAACTGCTGGTCTCGCATCGTGCTTGCCCCTTCCCCTTCCCTTCCATTGCTGGGCGGCCCCGTCGTCTTCCCCTCCCCCCTCCCCCTCCTCCTTCTCAAGCCCCCCCTACTGCTACGGTGGCTCCCATTTTCTTTCCGCTTCTCTTCTAGGCCTCCCCATCCACTCTCCTTTGGGACTTCCATCGTGTCTGTGTGTCCATGTCCAAGTCCATCGCTCATGCCCCCATGTCAATGGCCTGTCTTTTCACGGACCTGGCGTCTCGCCAATTCCATTCCACATGATTTTTGGGCATGTCACTGATCTGAGGCTTGTAGCTTAGCATCCCCCTCCAGTCCCGCGGCACGACACTAAATACCCAACTTGTCCAAGGCCATCGTGTCGCTTGGCCTGATCTTGATCTCGTCTCCCGCACTTTGCCTGCTCACCGACAACACCCGCCTGCCGGCTCCCGGATCCCAGAAGAGGAAAAGAAGAACCAACAACTGGGTCTTTTGCTCTCTCTCTTCTCCAGTGCCTGGTTCCCGCTTGGCCCTCGCCCACCCCACACTGCTTCCACTCGGCTTTCTTTCTCCTCCTCCCATTCTTCGTCTTCTCGCCTCGCCTCGCATCGCATTACAGCGCAGCGCAGTGCATCGCACATCGCATCGCCACCATTCAGGCTCCTCTTTGCTCTTCTCTTCGAGCAATCAAAAAATCAGGGCAAGCCAGCTCTCCCAAGGCAACCAGCCGCCCAGGCCTGGCCGATTCGTCTAGACTGCAGTGGCTGCGGCTTAGTTTGTGCATACAACCTTGTCTTACGCCTTGTAACGGAGCGGTCGACCGACCCGCAATAGCTGCCCAGCACCAGCTGCCACTGTTTTCCACTCGCACCCAATCGCGCTTCTTTTTGCGCCCAACTGCACGATCTCTCGCCAAATAGCAGGGGGCTTCCCTGGTTACATCCCAAAAGCCCACGAACGAATATCCACCCACCGACTGCCGCCCACCCCTCAATTTTCGCGAACCGCCCGTCTTGCAACTCAGTCGCCCTCACAGAACAAAACTCTCTTTCCTCGCAATTCTGCTGTTGCGCACATTGGATTCCTGTCGTCTGATCAGCTTTCTGCCCAAGTGTCGCCCGTCCGTCGTCCGCTTTTTTGGGTTTGTTCGTGCCAGCTATTCATCCCAACTTGGATACCCCCTCTTGTCACTGCGAACCGCGCAAGGACGAACGCTGCACGGCCTCATCCAACCTACACACCAACTTCTCTCTCCGGTTTCCCGTACCGGTAGCCAACACCCTCAATAACCTCGCCGGACCGTTTCGCGCAAATCTCTCTTTAACCACGCCGCTCTCCCTTCCGAGTCTGTCGTGCGAAGAGGGTTTTCCCACCGCCCACGCACATACACACACACACACTTCCTTATTATGTCGTAAGTGTTGTAATTTTCAACTAGGCCACCGGACAACCGACTCGGTGACATTCACACAACAAACAACACTCAACTAACACAATCCGGAAGACACGGTTTAAGAGATCGGTTTGCTTCATCCCGCGGGGGAACAACATCTCGTTCCGAATCCTACTCTGAAGACGACGATCGAGACAGCTTTGAATCTGGTGAACACGACGAGAGTTACTCTGACGACTACGAGGAAGACCTTGGCCCAGAAGACTCGGCTTCCGTCAGCCCTCAAAGATACCGCCCACAACAAACTCGAGCTGCCTCTCGTCACCACGAGCTCCCGCAGCACCCGCAGCAGCGCGAACAACTAGCATACCGCCCTCCCGTCAATTACGTTGACCCGTATCGGCCCGGTTCAGTGCCGAATCCCCCAGAAAGCGTGGATCCCTCAGAGGAATACCACCCGGCCTATGGCCACCGCGGTGGCTACGGTGCCCGCGCACCTCCGGCCGCCCATGGCGGGCCGCAAGGTCATGTCGGCCATGCCGGTCACAATCCCTATTTCCCAAGCGGCCGTGGTCACAACGGCCACCCTCAGAGCGCCTATCAACAACATCAACATAGTCATGTAGGCTATATGGGTCAAAGCCCATACGGAGCTCCTCCCAATACCATGGTTCCTTACGGTTATGGTGGTCCTCCGGGCCACAACCCCTTCTCGCCAATGTCCAATGGAAGCGGTCAGAGCTATTTCGGAGAGCAGCCGCGCAACTCTCAATATGACATGATGCCCTACAATCAGCCGCAGCCCCCTGCTTTCTACGGCCATGGCCCCCCCGGTGGACCTGGAGGCTACCAAATGCCGCCGCACATGGCCCAATACCTGTACTCCCAAGCTGCTCCACCTCCTCCACCTACGGAAGTTGGTCAGCCCAAGACTCCCGCGCCTGCCCCGCCGCCGTCACCGCCGAAGCCAGACCCAGAGAAGATCAAGTTGCAGGAACAACTTGAGCTCTTCAAGGCAGAGCAGGCTCGCAAGGAGGAGGCCGAGCGCCGGCGTGAGCTTGAGGAGAAGATTCGGAAGGATGCCGAGGACGCCATCGCTCGGCGGATGGAGGAGATGAGGAAGGCCCAAGAAGACGCGCGAAGGGAAATTGAAAGGGCCAAGAAGGAGGCTGAACAAGCTGCCCGTGAGGCTATCGAGGCTGAGCGCAAAGCTGAGGAGCAGAGGCAGAAGCTGCACCAGGAAGCCATGGCCAGAGCTGAGCGTGAGGCAAGAGAAAAGTACGAGGCCGAGCTCAAGGCCCATGCCGAAGCAAAGGCCGCTGAAGCAAAGGCTCGCGCAGATGCTGAGGCAGCTGCCCAATTGAAGCTCGAGCTGGCCATCAAGGCTCAGGAAGATGCCAGAATTGCCGCCGAGAAGAAGGCTGCGGAAGATGCCGCAGCGAAGGCCAAGTATGAGGCCGAGATGAAGGCCACGGCTGAGAGAGAAGCCCGTGAGAAGATTGCGGCCGAGAAGAAGGCGGCAGAAGAAGCCGCGGCAGCCAAGGCCAAGTACGAGGCCGAAATGAAGGAGAAGGCCGAGAAGGAGGCCCGCGACAAGATCGCGGCCGAAAAGCAGGCTGCAGCGGATGCTGCCGCAGCTAAGGCCAAATACGAGGCGGATATGAAGGAGAAGGCTGAGAAGGAGGCTCGTGACAAGATTGAAGCCGAGAAGAAGGCTGCAGCGGACGCTGCCGAAGCTAAGGCCAAATACGAGGCGGATATGAAGGAGAAGGCTGAGAAGGAGGCTCGCGACAAGCTGGCGGCGGAGGCTAAGGCCGCGGCAGATGCCGAAGCTGCTGCCGCTGCGGCCAAGAAAGCCGAAGATGAGCTCAAGAAGAAGGCTGCCGAAGATGCCAAAGCCAAGTACGAGGCCGAGACCAAGGAGAAGGAAGGCAAGCTGCCGATCAAGTTCAAGGACGCCGTCGGCCGCAAGTTCAGCTTCCCATTCCACATCTGCGCCACCTGGACGGTGAGTCGAAAGCACCCAGCGATGTTTGTAATGATGCTAACAGGTTGTAGGGTATGGAAGAGCTCATCAAACAAGCTTTCCTACACGTGGATGTCATCGGGCCCCATGTCCAGGAAGGACACTACGATCTCATCGGCCCCAATGGTGAGATCATCCTTCCCCAAGTATGGGAGAGGGTTGTCGAACCCGACTGGACCATTGAGATGCGCATGTGGCCCATGGAGAAGGCGCAGCCAGCTCCACCCCCGGGCGTGTTCCCTCCAGGTATGAGACCACCACCAGGACAACACCAGAGGACTAGGTCCATGGGGGGTCCGGGGGGTCTGCCACCGGGTTTCCCGAGGCCCGGGGGTGGTGGCGGGGTTCCACCACCACCCCCGGGTTGGGCAGGTAACGGTCCGCCACCACCGCCGCCTGTTGGCGCCATGCCTCCCGGCCGTGGTCCGCGTGTCATCAATGTTGGCCCGGCACCTGAGAAGAAACGTCAGTCCAAGGGAGGGCAGGGATCCATGCTCAGCTGGATGGCCGGCGCCAAACCCGCAAAGAAGAAGTAAGCAATCTCAACCCGTTGTACGGCCGCCAATTATCTAATAAACGAGTAGGAGTAGCAAGAAGACCTAATGGTCAGTGTTGTGCATTGCCAAACAGTGTTTTACAACATATACCACGAGAACTATTTCTTACGAATTTGCGGTTGGGATCTTTCTGATTTACACATGATACCTCATCGCGCATTATTTTGCTTTTCGCAGATTCCCACATAGTTGATTGTATGTATACAACGCATCTCACGGAATCATGGCTCATTTTCTTGACGTCTATAACGCATGTATGCCCGGAGTATGTGCTGCGGGGAGAGTGATTTTGAGAACGGGACCAAAGAGCCAAAGGTTGGAAAATGTTCCGCGAGGGTCGTACACAGAGAGGAGAGCCTTGCATCAGAGTTGGAGGAGACTGCGACATTTTCAGGACACGGCGCAAAATAAGGGAGGACCACACCGTGTTTTTGGGTTAGATGACTTTTTTGGTTGTGGTTAGATGCGTCGAGTTTTATGTTACAAAAAAACACTCTGAAAAGAATCATCATAATTACGCATGCGCGTTCTACCGTCTATTGCCCTCTGATTTATGTTTAATTGCCGTCTGCTTATATCCTTGGTCTACCAAGCACACCCTTGACGCGCTTCTCGAACGCTTGAATCATTACACCAGCCACCTTATCAGACACCGCAGCGCTCACAGCGGAGTACAACGGGTTCGCAAACTGGAACCTAATGACCAGGTCCACCTCCGTGCCAGTGCCCGTAGCCAGTGGCCGCAGCTGCCACATCGTCACCAAGCTCCTGAACACCGCACCGCCCTCTCCTCCATTGCCCGGGCTGGCACCCGGAACGTCTGCACCGCTGATCGCCTCGACGCTTTTCCCGGGTACACAGTGCAGCCTACTCGTGAATGTCTCCTCGAAGCCGCCCCAGCCCACGCGCAAGTCGGCCTGCGCGGGCCATTTGCGCCCGTTCTTGTCGGGGGCGGTCCATTGCGTGACACGGGACTGCGCGCAGTATGGCACGAAGGTCGAGTATGAGTCCACGTCGGAGATTACGTCGTAGAGCTGGGCGGAGGGGTATGGGAGGGTTCGGGAGGCCGTCAGGACCTGCGGCTCGGATGAGGGGATATTCGGGAGGTTGAAGAACTGCCGCGCCGGCGTGTGGGGTCGTGCGGCGGGCGTACAGCGGATGCTTCCCAAGGGAGAGAAGATCCGGAGAGCTGGCCGTATGGTTGCCATCGTGTATGGGCAGTTCCGAAGTATGGAGCTGGGAAAAGGTTGGGGAGCGTGGTCGAGGTTTTGCGCAGTGTTGAATGAGTGGAAGCTCGACTTTCAACGAGCCATGGTCTATAGTTCAAGCCGAGGAAGCGAAAGTGAATTGCCGCTCGAGGAAACTGCTGTCAACTGCCGTTCCGCCGCAGACAGTCCTCAATCGGGGTCGTCGCAAAAGTTGTTCGTGAAGCAAGTCGCAATGACGACTAGAAGCTGTCGCCGATGAAGAAGCTAGCAGTCGGTGTTAGTGGGCTGCTACCGCCGTACAGTGGGACTGCTTTTTCACTGTACAGAACACGGTACGAACGGCTAGCATCATTTTTGGTGGGGGTGAGCACCATGGCAGCACGACAGCAGCTCTCCACAAGCCAAGTTCAGCCACAGCAGCCCGCATCACCGTTCCCCGACTCCGACATCCCTTAGCTTGACGACCAGCCGAAACCCGTTCCCCAAGGCACTCTCCCCACGAATGTGCCAAAGCTGTGCGGCCACACAACGGGGGAAACCATTTCAAGATGCGCCATAGAACCCCGACGACCTGACCCGACTTTCGTTTACTCCCTTCCACGACGAACCTACCCACGAAATCCCTCCCCTCCCTCGACGTAACCTACGACCAACCCGTTTAAGCCCCGTCGCGTGGGGCTGTCATCGTCAAGATGTAGGTGTTGAGAGCAAGCGGCACGACACGGTGGTGCAGCACGCTGACAGCGATGGGATGCCCACAGGTTCGAGAAGTCCCTTTACGACCTCATCAGAGGCCTGCGAAACCACAAGGGCAACGAGCGCGAGTATATCCAGAACAGCTTGAAAGAATGCCGCTCCGAGGTGCGCGGGCAGGACATGGGTGAGCCAGCCCCCGGCCTTCCATCTTCGACTGCGTATCAATGGCTAATAGTCTCCGACAGACGTCAAGGCGACGGCGCTGCTGAAGCTGGTCTACCTCGAGATGGTTGGCCATGACATGTCCTGGGCTTCGTTCCATGTCCTCGAAGTCATGTCGTCGCAAAAGTACCACCAGAAGAGGGTTGGATACCTGGCTGCTGTGCAGAGTTTCCGGTCTGACACAGAAGTGTTGATGATGGCCACGAATCTCTTGAAGAAGGTACGTCACTGCGCTGCGGGTGCATGGCGAGAGGGTGGTATGCTAACGCTACTTCTGCGTAGGACTTGACCTCGACGCAAGCGACGACAATATCCCTCCCGATCTCTACACTACCACACATCATCAACCCGTCCCTAGCCCTCTCGACCCTCCCCGACCTGCTCCCCCGCCTGAGCCACTCGAACCCCGCCATCCGCAAGAAGACGATCGTGACGCTGTACCGTCTGGCGCTGGTGTACCCCGAAACGCTGCGCGCAGCCTGGCCCAAGATCAAGGAGCGTCTTATGGACAAGGACGAGGACCCGAGTGTGACTGCAGCTATTGTGAATGTTGTCTGTGAGCTGGGATGGAGACGGCCTCATGACTTTCTTCCTCTGGCGCCCAGGTTGTTCGAGCTGTTGGTTGATGGTGGTAATAACTGGATGGCCATCAAGCTGATCAAGCTGGTAGGTGGTGCTTTGAGTAGCACGCAAAGGCGGGAAGGCTGACGAGCAATACAGTTCGCGACTTTGACGCCACTAGAGCCCAGACTCGTGCGGAAACTGCTGCCGCCTCTCACTGAGCTGATTCGGACGACGCCCGCCATGTCACTACTGTACGAGTGCATCAACGGTATTATTCAGGGTGGCATCCTGGGTAGTGAGGATGACATCTCAGGCCAGGAGGAGATTGCGACTCTTTGCGTGAACAAGCTCAGGGGCATGATCATGGTGGATGGCGACCCGAATCGTAAGTCACGCGACTCGGTCCGTGATCTGGGGCTAACTTTCAACAGTCAAATACGTTGCGTTGCTCGCGTTCAACAAGATCGTATTGACACATCCCTTTCTGGTCGCGCAACAGGAAGATGTCATCTTGGAGTGCATCGACAGCCCCGATATCACTATTCGCATCAAGGCTTTGGACCTCGTTCAGGGTATGGTCAGCAGCGACAACTTGGTATCCATCGTAAGCCGTCTTATGAAGCAGCTCAAATCTTCTGCTCCTAAAAGAGATCGGCCGGGGGCCCCCATTGGTCCTGATACCGGGACGGATTCTGACGACGAAGCGCAAGTCGAAATTCACACTCCAAACAAAGAGGAGGAGGAGCCTCCACTACCTGATGACTACAGGAGCGATGTGATCGGAAGGATTCTGACCATGTGTTCACAAAACAACTATAGCAGCCTGGTGGACTTTGACTGGTACATTGATGTTCTCATTCAGCTTGTCCGCATGGCGCCGACGCCACGGTCAGTCGAGACGGAGCTCGACTCAGTAGCAGCCTCCGGCAAGTCGACAGCCGGAGATGTATCCGGCATGATTGGAGACGAGTTGAGGAATGTTGCTGTGAAGGTGCAAGCCCTGCGAGGGGCTTCAGTCAGGGCCGCTGATCTGATTATTCAACAACTCAACTCGGATACCCCCGCCGGGCACTCCCTCTCTTCGGCATCACTCAAGTCAACTACGTGGTTGGTTGGAGAATATGCCAATCAGCTCGCTTTCCCTGAAGACACTTTGGGAAACATACTGCGGATTATCCCCCGAACACATATTCCAGACATCCTTACGACGAGCCTGCAGGCCGTGACGAAGATCTTTGCGTACGTCGCCGGCAACGATGGGCAGCCTTGGACACCGGAGTGGAAAACCAAAATTACCCTGCTTATGGCGCGGGTAATTCACACGTTAGAGCCGCTCGCCCTCCACCCAAACCTAGAGGTTCAGGAGAGGTCGGTGGAGTTCATCGAGCTTCTGAAGCTCACTGCCGACGCTGCGTCAGGGCAAGCGCCATCATCTGAGGACACTCACCAAGACGCTCCCCTTCTCCTCACACAAGCCATCCCATCTTTGTTCCAGGGATGGGAACTTAACTCTGTTGCTGTTGGCGCCCAGAAGAACGTGCCAATACCCGACGGTCTCGACTTGGACGAGCCCATCCACCCCAACCTGAGTTATCTTCTTTCGCAAGCGGACATCATACCTATGGAGGCGAGCGAAGCGGACGACTTCGAGGTTTACTACCACCAGCGTCCTGCTCCAACCAGCATATCTTCCGCGGAGCCGGCTATCAACAAGATTGCAGACGTACCAGAAGAAGTCGTCAGCTCGTATCAACAAGCGACTGAAGACAGCTATTTGGACGCAGACATCGTTGCAAGGCGGAAGGCCGAGCGAGCAGAACGTAACCGTGACGATCCATTCTACATTGGCGGAGCAGACAGCAACCCCAGATCGTCAACACCAATTCACAGCATCTTACAAAAGGAGAATGGCCCGGATCTTGACATAGACTCCATACCGATAATGCAGTTGGACCTCGACAAGCTAGGCTCATCTGCTCCAGGTCCAACATCACCCATCAGCCGACCGCAGCCGCGACCGAGGCAGCGCGTTGTCATCGCCGCGGACGAGAACCTGGTAGGGAGCGGCGTCTCCACTCCGCGCAACTACGAGTCCGAGAACAACTCCGACAGCTTCACCAAGTCGCGCGCCAAAAAGCTACGACAGGGTCTGTTGCAAGTCGACTCGTCGACCCTGGGTAGCCTCAGCCTCGAAGAGAGTGGCGGCTCGGGTGGCACGGGTTCCTCCAACGCGCCGTTCGATTACGAACAACAGCAGCGCGAGGAGGCCGAGATGGCGCAGGCAATGAAGGAGGTCGAGAGGCTGCGTCTCGAGATGCAGCGCGCCAACGAGCGGATCCAGGTCGCGCAGGGCGTCGATGCCGCCGGCGTGGTTGTCAAGAAGAAGACGAAGAAGGTCAAGAAGGACGCCGACGGCACGGCGGTGGTGAAGAAGAAGAAAAAGAAGGCTCCGGCCGTCGTGCTCACGGACGACGCCGAGAACGGGGCCGGCGAGGAGCCCGCTCCCATTTCGGCCGCCCCGACATTGACGGCTCTCGAAGGCGGAGACGACGCTGGGCCGGCGGTCGTGGTGCCCAAGAAGAAGAAGAAAAAGAAGACGACCAAGATGGCTGAGATTGCGGGGGACACGCCTAGCCCGAGTTGATGTAGTTAGTGGTTGTAGTGGTGGTTTGCACTCATGACAACGAATGGCGCAGGAAAGGTAGCATATAGATAAAACAAAATGCGAAGGCGCGGTGTATCCATTCATTCCTTTTCTCTGATACTTGTTAGGCCATACGAAACAATTTATGTTCTTGAAATTGTCACGAGAAGATACAAGAAGGTTCGTTAGTATCAATCACCGTCAGCACGACACGACGAAGCTACTAGACTAAGCTTTGACCGAGGTGCTTTTCGTGCGTTTTCCCCTGACGTACTGTGAAAGCCCCTAGATGGGCTCGAAACTTCCTCAACATCAATCACCATCAACAGACTTGACAGGCAGGATCTTTGAACCGTTTTTTGGGGAATCTGTCTCTCTCTCTCTCCCTCTCTCTTCTTCATCTCATCTCCAACTCCAACTCCAACACCATCTCTCGTCCCCTCCCTCCTCTCTCCCGCTCTCTCGTGGTTTACGTACAGACATGATACAAAGGGGACAATGAGGAATCGCTTCCCGACGTCACACCGTCGTTAAGTCACCGCCAGCCAGCCAGTAAATTGTTTCTTCTTTTTGTTTCCTGTACCAGCCGCCGCCGCCGCCGTTGTCGCCCGCGCAAGAAAAACCCTCTTCCGGCGTCACACATGACAAGAAATTGGGTTGGTTTTTTGTGAAGAAAATAGACATTAAGAAAGGAAGAAAAAGGAAAACCATCAGCTTTGCCGAGAAAATATCAGTCGTCGAAGAACCGAACGATCGCTTCTTAGTCATCCATGGGCTTGTCCTCGAGTGTCACCCCGCGAGGAGTCGAAGGAGCGCTGTCGTTTCCGCTCGATGCTACGGGCACCCGGCGCTCGAGAGAGTATCGCGCGGTGCT